GGAGAGAGGAGGAGAGGGGAGGGGGAGGGGGAGGGGGGGAGGAGGGGAGGGAAGTAGAGACGGGCTAAAGAACAGAGCAGGTAAGGAGTGGAAAAGGGAGATGGGAAGGCAGAAAGCAAGGATTCGACAAGATCCGTTGTCACCTTGTGAGCAAACGCGGCTTGCACCTCCTTCTCAAGTTCGATTTTTCTCTCGAGCACCATGATCATCCGCTCCTTCTCAATCAGATCCAACTTGACCTTCTCCTTCTGCTCTATTGTACTCTTGACCTGCATGAGGACTCAATTCAGTCTTCTCCTCCCTTGTCCTCCTCCTCTGCTCTGTGCTCTTCCCCTGCCGTCTGCCTCCCTCTTGTCGCCTGTCCATTCCCCTTTTCCTCTCAACTGCTTCGTCCCCATGCTTTGTCCTCTTCCCTTTCAACCCCCCCTCCAGCTCCATCCTCTCCTCTCCTTCTGTTTTCTCGTCCTCTTCCCTCCTCCTCCTCCTCCTCCTCCTCCTCCTCCTCCTCCTCCTCCTCCTCCTCCTCCTCCTTCTCCCTCCCTCCCTTGTCATTCACCTCTTGGCAGGCGAGAGAGCTTGAGCTCTATGCGCTGCGTCAAGCAGACCTGATTGAGTCTGAGGTGAGCAGAAGGCGACTTCTTCGTCCTCTCCCTTCACTTCCTCCCTCTCCCTCGCCCTGTCCCTGTCCCTGTCCCTCTCACTCCCTGTCCCTGTCCCTGTCCCTGTCCGTCTCCCTCCTCCCTTCCTCCCTCTCTCTCTCTCTTCTATCCACGTCACCTTCTACTTGTTTACATCTTCATTCTCCTCTACCTTCCCGTCCTCTTTCTGCCTGACCTCCTCACTCACTCCCTCCCTCCCTTCAACTTTCTTCAGGCAAATGCGGCCACAAAGTTGCAACAGACTGCAAAAACTCGAACATTGGAGTTTCAGACAACAAGGCTGCAAGTAAGATGGAAGAGATCCTCTCCTCCCTCCTCTCCTCTCCCTCCTCCCTCTCCCTCCTCCCTCTCCTCCCTTCTCTCCCTCCCCCTTCCCTGCCGCCTCCCTTTCTCTTGTTGCTCCTCCTCCATGACTCTGACCCCAGCGGATGTACGAGGAAGTGGAGAGTAAGCAGGCGGCTGTCAATGACTCGGCAAGACACTTGGAGGAGCTGCGACAAGTACAGGAAGCTCGAATGGCGACTAAGGTGAGGAGAGGGGCGCGGGAACGGAGGGATGAAGAGAGAGGGAGGGAGGCAGGGAGGAGGAGAGGCAGGGAGGAGGATGAGAGGCAGGGAGGAGGAGAAGAGGTAGGGAGGAGGAGGAGAGGTAGCTCCTAAATGGTTTCGAAGGAATGGAAGTGGTCGATAGCAAGCAACGGGAAGGAATACTGGTGGAACAAAAGGACCAAAGAGAAATCATGGAAGGTCGCAACCTTCCTCTCCTGCCCCTGCTCTAGTCCTCCTGCTCCTGCTCCTCCTGCTCCTCCTCAACTCTGTGCCCCTCCCACCTTCTGCTCCTCCATCGCTCTCATCCCTCCTCTGCCCCTCCTTCTCCCTCCCTCCCCCTCCCTCTCCCTCCCTCTCCCTCCCTCTCCCTCCTAACAGCTTCAGCAGATTCCACCCGTTCTGTTGAGTCTAGGACAGGAGCTTGAGGACTACAAGGAGCTGATGAGATTCAGACCTAAGGGCTCCCGGCCCAGCACCTCCTTCACGTGATATCCGGGAGGCGCAGCGACAGAAATCAGAGTCTATAGACCAATCACAGTGATCGACAACTTCTAGAACCTTCTCCTCCCTCCACTACCGCAACCTCGTCGTCCTCGTCCTCGTCCTCGTCCTCGTCCTCGTCCTCGTCCTCGTCCTCGTCCTCGTCCTCGTCCTCGTCCTCGTCCTCGTCCTCGTCCTCGTCCTCGTCCTCCTCCT